AACGGCATTGCCGGAGTAGAGTTGTGGGTAGCACTCAGAATGCCATATCGTTTTGAAACTGACCAGACTGCAAGATGTTTCAACCCGACTGATTTTGTAGTCCAGTACGCAAGTCCGCGAGAGCTCTTTGTTCATTGTGTTGCACCAGGGTTCGATTGTGTCCTTGTTGTGGCTCATGCCCCTCACAATGGGGAACAGTCGGAAACCAGAGAAAAATGGTGGGGCGATTTCCGACAACGAGTCAATGCACTGGGACCCGACAAAGAAGTCGTGGTCCTCTTAGATGCAAACGCTCGACTGCTTCCTCTTGGCACTGAAAGCGTTGGAGATCTTGGAGAAGACAGGGAGGACAAAAACAGTCCCTTCTTCCAGAACTTCATTGAGTCCCAACAACTTTTCGTGCCTGCCGCTTTCGCAAGCTTTCACTGGGGTCCGATGGCCACGTGGGTTCACCCGAATGGACGTAGCACTGCCAGACTCGATTATGTCGCCCTGCCACTCAGCTGGAAAACAGCAGAAATCTGGTCAGGCAATGAAGAGAGATTCCATTCTGGGCACCCAGGGCATGATCACACATGCACTACTGTCACCATCAAGTGGACTATGTATGATTGTTTGTGCACCACCAAAAGAGCTCGAATCGATAGGGAAGCAATGCTGACCAAAGAGGGTAGAGAAACTGTTGCACATATCCTACAAGAAGCTCCTGATGAAGATTGGGACTTAAACGCCAGCGAACATGCTGCCATCCTTGCAGGATTTCTGCGCACACGCCTTGAGCAAGCTTTCCCTATGAAGAAACGCCTAAAATCCTGCCGAACGGCAGGAGTTACGGCACGAGAACTTTACCAACAGCTTACGACCTGCAAGCGCAGGCTTCGGCATGCCAAGCAACTCTACATGCACATCCTCCTAAAGGGAGCGTTTGACGTGTGGGCTGATAGGGCATGGCATGAAAGCCAGCTAAGGTGGGCAACCAGACTGACACTAGCCAAAGCTAGAATTGCCAAAGACACCACACGGATAGCGAGGCGACTCCGTAAAGAGTTCAGAGCAGAAAAAAGGACGTTTTTGGATGGACTGGTGAAAGAAGCAGCCCAAATGAATGTTTCTGATGTATTTTCTGCTCTACGTAGTATCCTACCCAACAGGAAAAGTAAAAGTATTTCCAGGCCACTGCCACAAGTCAAGAAGCTGGATGGTACTCTAACAACCAACAAGGAAGATCTTGAGCAGCGATGGAACGAACACTTTTCAGAACTTGAGGCGGGACACACGATTGGCCTTCAAGATCTCATCTATCAGACAGCTGCTAGACAGCAAGCGCAACTGAAGCCAAGCTCTCAATCCTTGGGAGAGCTTCCTACACGACAACTGTTGGAAGCGGCCTTCAGGAAAGTGCGCACCAGAAGAGCACCTGGGCCAGACTTAGTCCCTAGTGAACTACTGGCCATCGCACCAGCTGAAATGGCGCGCATTTTTTACCCATTACTTCTCAAGTTCAGCCTCCGCTTGGAAGAACCAGTCCAATGGAAGGGAGGCACACTTGTTGCCCTCCACAAAGACACAACGAGTGTGCCAGCTTTCGGGGCATTCTACTACTTTCCACCATCGGCAAAGCTGTGCGAGCCTCTCTTCGACAAGATGTTAATCAGCCGTATGAGAGAGCTAGCGATGCATTCCAATTTGGAGGGAAAAAGGGGCAGACAGTTTTGTTTGGTGCGCAAGCTGTCCGACATTTTCTGGCCTGGCAGAAATCCGCTGGCAAATCAACCGCAGTGTTGTTCTGCGATGTTGCCAGCGCATTCTACAAAGTCCTGCAAGAGCTTGCCATAGGAGCGACATGTTCAGATGCAGATCTCGCACGCATTGCACACAGACTCGGACTTGGGCCGGAAGTCATGCCAGTGCTACACAAGGCACTGAAAGGAACAACGGCCTATCAGCAGATGGGTGCGACAAAACACCAGCAAACGCTGCTACATGAAAGTCTCCAACAAACATGGTTTACGTATGATGGCCAGACGTGCATTCAAACGCACAGAGGCACCCGTCCTGGTGACTCCTGGGTGGACATAGTGTTCAACATCCTATTTGCTCACGTGCTGCAGAAAGTACAGAGACAACTGGAAGACAACCAGATGATCACAATTGTCCCTGCGACAGCATATGCAGCACAGGAAGCACCATTTTGGCAAGCGACATGGGCCGATGACCTAGCGATCCTGCTCGCGTTTCATACTGTGGAAGATCTGGTTCAAAAATTCCCGATCGCAGTAAATGCACTCCTGGATGTCCTACGGGAATTCGGCATGCAAGCCTCATTGGGGGACACCAAGACAGCTGCCATTATACAGCCTAGGGGTAAAGGAGCAGTAGCAGTGCGACGCAGGCTTTTCGCTCGAAATCCGGCAACGTGGCCAATTATGACTGAACATGAAGTGGTGCAGTTGCCCTTAGTGTCGCAATACAAACACCTAGGCGGTTTGGTCACTGCAGCCGGAACAATGACCAACGAGATTCGAGCCCGGGTCAGCAAAGCCAAGAGCTCTTTCTGGCGCATCGCGCACAAGGTGCTCAGGAACGAGCACTTCCCACTACAGACAAGAGCCAAGATTTTCCAAGCCACAGTCCTGTCTGTCCTGACATGGGGAAGCGGCGCATGGCCCATGCTGAATGTAGGAGAGCACAAGCTGTGGGTCACGGCATATTGGGAACTTCTTCGGAAGATAATGCCCAAGAAATGCAGGCAACTCCTGCATTTATCACATGCTCAGATCTTATCCACACTCGAACTGGAGCACCCTGATGATGCCCTGCGAGCACAGAGGGCACGACATTTCGGACTGATGCTCACGGCGGGACCTCCCACACTATGTGAGCTTGCCAAGCTTGACAGCAAAGCCTACACCGCAATCAAGCAAGCGGTACAATGGGTATGGAATTATATAGGCCGCGATGAAGGACTGCCGCCCACAGAACGATGGACTCCATGGATTGAATACATCCAGAAAAGCCCTCATCAGTGGGAAAAGCTGGTCCATCGTGTCCAAGAACGATCCAGACGGATGAGAAATCGCGATGGCAAGGTAGAGATCTGGCATCGCCGAATCCTTGAAGCCATCCAGACACTGATCTCCAATGACCCACAGGCTGCACGACATGCAGGCCATCCTTGCCTCATTTGTCGGGTGTCTTTTGCTACTAAGAAGGCTTGGTTTCTCCACGCGCACCACAAGCATGAATACAGAACGATGCATGGAGAAGCGACCATCGGTACCAAATGCACCGTCTGTGCCAAAGAGTATTTCCACTCTAGCAAGCTACACAATCATTTGAGGTATAGCAGCCTGTGTCGAAATACAATGTGGCACCAAGTCCACATCCAGCAAGCAGGCTGCTCGACACTCGTGCATCCACAAAGGCCGTGGCAACAGGAGCGCGACCCTGTACAGCCTGATTACCAAGCCGAAGATAGGGACCTGTCAGATCTGCACAACAGGCTTGAAGACACATTGCATTCTGGCGTGTTTCAGGTTGATAGTCACGACTTTCTACATGAACTTGAAGCAGCACTCCAGCAAACATGCATCATAGCCATGCCGTATGACACTATTGTCGAAGGATTCCGGCGATGGGCCGGGTCCTATCAGTGTAGCACCGATCGAGTGCTCCTGCAGGCCATAGCGAATACAGCAACTTGGCTACTCGAATACCCAGCGACATGGGAGTGCGCAACAACAGATACCTCATACCCAGAGCTTTCAAATGAGAAAGAACGATTGCATTATCGATTTCATGCTGCCAAGAAGATAAGTAAGTCCTTGCCGATGCCCAAAGGAAATTGTTTTTCTTCACTTTTTCAGTGGACACAGAAGGCACGGAGATCTTCAGACGCAGTTGGAACGGCTCCACGTCCCTGATGGCTGTGTCATGTTGGTCGCCTCGGTGGATGTCGCCATCGATGAGGTTACCTGCGACCTGCTAAACAGGGATCGCCAAGACAAGTGGATTGCTTTTGTCAAGACAGGCAGAGCGAGTGGACTCACGATTGGGCCACCTTGCGAAACCTGGAGCGTTGCCAGATTTGCTCGTGGACAGGACACAAACAAGAGCCAAGCACCTAGACCAGTTGGAAGCAGCGAAATGCCATGGGGTCTCCCTGACCTCACAGCTCGCGAGCACCGACAGGTCGAGGTGGGGAATGAGCTCCTCTGTTTTGCCGTGGAAATCACCATTCACCAAGCGCTGGCTGGCAATTTCTCTGTCCTGGAACATCCACAAGCGGCGGACCATTTCCGTGATGATGCTTCTGCATTTCCGAGCATCTGGAAGTTGGGAGTGACCCAGTGGCTGAGGGAGCTAGACCTTTTTACAGAACTCCACACTATGCAAGGACATTTCGGGGGCCACAGTGTCAAACCGACCACCTTGCTTGTAGGAGGGATCACAGCTAATGAGGCCTCTACAATTGAACAAAGTTCCCGCACGACACCATTGCCCCTTAAAGGGTGCATTGGGAAAGACGAACATGAGTGGAGGACCTCAAAGCTCAAAACCTACCCCCGTGATTTCTGCACCATGATCAGCCATCTTTTCCACTGTTGGATTTCCCATAGGTGGGAGAGTGAAGATGATAGCGAGATTCCTTTTTTGGGTCCGCAAGCTGGTTCTCAGTGAAGTGGGGGCGGGACAGCGTGGTGCAGACTTTTTCACGGGGTCTAAGGTACTGCACGTTAATTAGTTGAATTCGCATGCGAGGCGTCGCGCGAGTCGAATCGCACCAGATGCTACAGAAAGAAAGAAAGTGTTTTTTCGATGCTTGCATGCAAAAACCATAGGAAACCAAACCCGGGCTGATCCAATCCACCACTTAGTCTCAGTGATATAGGAAACATGAGGCAAAAAAAACATATAGTTTCGGGGGTGAACACCTATCAGTATCCTCTAGATGTTCCCTTACACATCCTTGACCAATTTCTGGGGACCGCCACTGCCAGGAGATGCAGAAGCACAACATTGACCTGTCGGTGTGGTGCCCCAAAACCAGCGGCCCATCCGTTGCTCCGGTGTTTTTTCTTCTGCGGGGAGGGGCAGCATCCAGCGGACCCACGAACTCCGAGCGAAAACTCTCCCCACCGCCTCCGACATTCGTTTGGTCATTCTCGATAGAACATCTTCATGCTCCTAGTAGCAAACATTGCTCCTAGTAGTAAGGCCAGGAGCTCCTAGTAGCGTCCGATGGCTCCGTTCGTAGCGATGCCCGAAATGCTCCGTTCGTTATTGTCCTTTGTGACCAGATCGTGACCTACAACACCCTCCTGGACTGCTGCGCTCGCTGCTGCCGCCAGCGGAGCCCAGTTCGTCCGACGGAGCGACGGGAGACCGCAGGGACTGGGATCGGAAGAGGAGTTGAAGGGCTTTACTGGTTGGGGGTGTTCCACTCCTTAAAGCATGGTTCAATGGTTTCTGTGCAAGTGGGTGGATGTTTTCCGTACATGATGCTTTCCTATTTTTTTCCTCTTGCCGGGTTTGGGAAAACCATCGAATCTGGTAGGATGTGTCTGAACCCACGCCATGTCCGTTTCTTCAAGTGGCAAGACGTACAAACGAACACATACGAAAGCGGTGAGACTGCAGATTAAGATGCTTCTCCAAGAGGCTGAGAGGTTCCTGTTAAGAGAGCCAGCTGTTCCATGTGGCTTTGCCTCAACGGCCTACGTGTCCTTCTGCAGAATAGCGCACAGACCCGAGCAAACAAGGACTCGATTGGCCCAAAGCAACTTCGTGAGTGCAGTGGTGCAGTTGATGAGCATGTTCACTGCTCTTCTTTTACTTCGAAGGCTTTTCCTGAAGCCTTCTCAGATCCGGCAGCTTCATTCATCCGTTCTTTTCTGCACCCAGACACTCCATGTATGCCATATATGCCTACATTGGGGTGGTTTTGGGGGTCAATGTAGGCATATATGGCATACATGGAGTGTTTGGGGCATGTTTTGTATCCGATCCATCCGGATCCATCTGTGGACCCTTCCACCGCCGCCTGGCCGCGGACCGAAGGCATGGATGGAGTACCCGCGATCATCGAAGACATGAAGAAGGCCGGTCAGGGAGATTCTGACCCAGCATGAGACCTAGCAACAAAGTAGCAATAAAAGAGTGACACAATTCATGTTTTTGTGCGAATATCGCTGGGGCTCTTGGATTGACAAAGCTCTACTCCCGGGTGAACACAGGCGATTTGACCCACCGAGACCCTTTGGCCGGTCGCCGTTGACGTGCGGAGGCCAACATCAAGCCCAACATCATCACCTACAGCACCACGGAGCAATACAAAGGCAAAGTGTTCGGAAAAAAAGGAGTGTCAGTTTGTGGAAGTTTGTGGTGCCTATCCAAAACAATTGGACCATTGTATATGGCTACATTAAAATTATGTAATATATTATATAATATACATATTTAATTATGTAATTACAGACACAGATATCATGTATAGCCCGAATCTGTCATGTTGGGTTTGAAAGAAGTCTCATGGATTGCAATTATGGCCACAACAAGGCTCTTTCAGGGCTGTGTTGTCAGATTGCATGGATCTTTCCGCTGCAGCGTATTCTGCCTTAATTGTTTTGGGAACCAAGGGATGTTTTGCCTTGTTGCCTGTGAATTATAGGCCCCACTGTTTCTTTTGATTTGAGGAAAGTTTCAGTCCACTCATCTCCTGCTTAACCAGCTGAAGTCTTAACTTGACTTTCAAGCTTCTATACTTGGTCTTGGAGAAAAAACTTCAACTGCCAGGTGATGACGGAGGACGGACATATCACGTGATCATGTGAGTGTCTCATCCATCTCACGTAGCACGTAGCTGCTCTCGGGTCTCGTTCCAAGGCACTATGCTGAAGGGCCACTGCCAGACAGGCACGAATCGTCACCTCACCTCACAAGCGTGGTTCGTGGACGATGGAGCTGGCTGGCTGATCCTGAGGGGGTTGGAACATGGAGCTGGCTGCATCAAAAAGGTCCTGCAAGTTAGAGAGAAAGAGTTGGGCTGTTGGCTGATTAGGCTGATGCCAACTCTCTGAGAGACCCTACACATGCTTATCTCAAAGGTTTCATTTATGGTTCCATACATTTTGAAGGGTTGAAGAACCACAACATTTACAGCCCCAATCGATGTGAAGCACTGGTGGAAGTGGATTGGCGTTCATGTGGCATCTCTCCTGAGCCAATGGCAAAGCCCTTTTGCTGTCCATCCCAGACCTGATCATGGCCATGGTCAAGCTGTTCAGGTGACATTTCCTCAGCCTTCAAGCTGGTGAAGGAGATGAGGGAAGAGGCCACGAAACGAGAAAATACGAACCGTTCTGTAGTAAGGGATTTTGGTCAACTTGTCCAGTGTCCAGTCCTGGTTTTATACATCCTCTTTGTTCAAAGTACTTGCAAAAAGAAACAAACAAAAAAACAAGCAAACAAACAAGCAAGCAAACAAAAAAAACAAACAAGCAAACAAACAATCAAACAAACAAGCAAACAAACAAACAAACAGGACTTTTGAACTTCACTCTGTTTTGCAACTTTTGAGTTCTAGATGGTTCTTGCAACCGTTTGTGAACTTTGTGAAGTTGCAGAACCGAGCCAATTGATTTGTCGAAGAAATGAGGGGCGCACCAGACTCTTCAGCACGTGTAGTTCCTCGTGTTGACCATTTTGTCAAAGAGGAGCTGCCAGTAAGGGACAAGCTTGCGAGCCGTTCCCTTGTGTTTTGACCCGGTAACTGCTGGCTTTGGGCGTTCGGAAGGCATTCGGAAGTCTTTCTCAACAGTCAATCATGCACCATCCGAGGGACTTTCTGGCAGTGCATACACCCTTTCTACATCCGTTGAGCATGCATGTGCACGGGTTCCATAAGCCACCGTGCATGAAGGATCTTTCAACGACCGTGCACGTGTGGGTTCCTCTTTTCAGAACGTCATCCGATTGACAAGGCCCTGCACGCTCCCAAACAGGCGGAGATAGAGAAACATGAAACATGCGTTCCCCCACAACCACTCCGCACTACAGGCAAAGGAAGAAACAGAAACACTCTGACTCTCACAACTCAGCAACCATTTGATTGAAGAAAGAACGAACAACACCGTCCTTTCGCGGATGATCCGACTTTGCACCACCAGGCTGATTTGGTGCCGGATGAGATCATGTGACCCCGAAAGAAGTCGAAGGAAGACGCCTGTCACAGTGGCGAGGTGGCGAGGTGGCGCGCGCGGCGAGGTGCCGAGGTGCCGGGGACTCTGGGAAGCTTCGACGCGGGGCCGGAGTGAAGAGTCCACCAAACAAGACGCATGTTCCAGGAGTCACAAAGGAGTGGTTTTTAGTCCCTAAGTCAGTGGATAATGGGCACCCCTATCCTCCAATAGGCACCCCTTTGTGACTGCTGGTTTGTCTTTCTTCTTCTTCTTCGGAAGTTTTTGGAGGAGGAAGTGGAGTTGCAGGAAGAAGACGTTCTTCTACTTGCTCTTCTACAAGTCTGGTTTGCAGTTGTTTGCCGTTTGCCTGTGTTGTTTTTCACATATGCTCAATTCAGACCATGTCAAATTTCTGACCTTACCAAACTAACCCTGCCATTCCATTGGATTCCATTGGATTCACTTCGAACAACAGGTACAATTCGCTCCTAGACGGCTGTGCTCAAAGCAGCTTGGTGGATGAAGGCCTCCGAGTGCTGCAAGAGATGCAGGAGCCACACGGACATCGTCGTTTCGTTTCTGCCATGCCAAACGGCGTTTTTCGGCTCTCTAGTTGTCCGCCCTTGTGAGTGCATCAGTTTCGCTGTGTTCAGGTCTGCAAAGACATCAATTTGAATGCACGGGGTGCCCAATGGTTTTGTTCAACTCTTGACTCGCTGGAAACAAATGGTTGTTCCACTATGGCATTGAGATCCTTTACATAGGAAGTGGCTGGGACTTCGTCAGGAATCGTTTCCCTCGCAGCGTCCCTTACAGCTTTCCTGGCAGCTTCCCTGGGTATGTTCACTGGGTGTGGCAAAAGAGAACACATCAAGAAAGCTTGTCCCTAGTGATGGCCCCCAACCTCATTGTAAAAGACATCAGCAAATCAGCACAGTCGCAGTGTGTCTCCCAGGAGGCCCACGTGAAGCCCAGCAACTTCACCTTGTCCGTCTTGGTGAAGTTGATGAGCCGTGCGCGGCGCGTGGACTACGCCTTCGACCTGGCGCGGGGAGCGCGGAGGGGATGATGAGTCGAGCTTGTGATCGCCTACAAGTGCCACGCTAGTAGTAACAGGTGCCTTACTAGTAGTAACAAAAAGCTATTAGAAACAAGTGCCTTACTACTAGTAACAATAAGAATTTAATTGGAATTGTAATTACTAGCAAAGGAATCTACTAGGACCTTTTCGACTTGCTTTGACAGGTCAAGGACTTGTCGGAGAAGTACCACCTGAGCCCCAACAGCCACGTCTACGCCAACCTGGCTTGGGACTCACTGTGGTAACAACCAAAAAGAAGTGGTTCTGGGTGTGTTGCTGTGCGTGTGCTCGAAGAATATCAAGACCTGAGAATAGTGGGACATCTTCATGGATGAAAGGAGGTTCCCATTTCGACTGAGTCTTGGGAAGGTTTTGCGAAGAGACGTTTGCCTTTTTGCCAGTCGTGTTACTTGTTTTTTGTTGCGTGCTTAGTGATTAGCGCAGGCATTCGGAGCAAGCATGTGGCCCTGCCAAGGTCCAGGCGTGTTGCTTCAGCAAGCAACTGCAGCGTGGTCTCAAGACCTTGGAAGAGATGATGGTACGTAAGGCGAGCGGCCAGCAGCCGGCTAAGTTTGGTTGAGACTTGCGCAAGTCGGAGGTCTTTCATGGGGGTGGTCAACATAGACACACGGAGGGTGACATTTGCATAAATTTGTAGTGTTTTTTTTTGCGGATTGTTCTTGAGGTAGGGCAAGTCAAACAGCGAGTAGAGGCTTTGCCCAATAAAACAGATTGTGGATAGAGGATTGATGTGGCTTTGCACAAAAAACGATCACAAATGATTAGGGCGCTTGTTTCTCATTTTCCACTGCGCACCAGCCCTTCTTTCTCATGCCTTCTTTCACAAAGAACGAAAGGCGAGGGAATCTCGAGCGGAACACCACCAGTTTGGCCTCCAGTTCCTTGGTCAGCTTGGCCAACGGCTTGACGGCTTGGGCCACTCACTCTTGGGCTAACGGACAGGTCCAGCCGGACAAGCGCACCTACTCTATGCTGAGCTGCCCTTAGTTGACTTGGCGGGTCTGGGCAGCTTACATCTGGGTTTGGGCAGCTTAGCTTGTGTTGGGATGGACCAAGTGCATTTTCCATGCAGTTGTTTGCTTTCTACATCCACACATGTTGAAGCGGCAAGATTGTGGCAAAAGGACACAATTTCACATAGAATCGTTGATCAAGGTGAGTCATTCCATGGCCCCCTGTAACATTCCGCGTGAAACGATGAGGAGCAAGCTTTGAACTGTTTTGAGGGACGCGGTAACAGGCAGGAACTTCAGACTGAGTGCCCAAACTATCCCACACTGATTGCGCTGATTGGATGTGGCTCAACGCCAGAAAACAGATACCTTTGTTTTCTCAATTTAATCAAGTGTGTTTGTTCGTGTGACAAGATTCGTACCAATGCACAGATTTCCCCGAGATTTCTGAAGACATACATGACTGCATACAATCACGCTATCAGTGATAATCGTCAATGATGATCATATGGAAGATGTTACTACTCCAAAACCATGGAAGATTACAAAGTATCTCTCACGCACCGAATGAGTGCAAGCTCAAATTGGTGGATTTCCTCACTATTTGTCACCAAAAAGGCCATGCAAGCCTCACATTGAGGCTGGGTCGGTCTTGAAGGTACTGTATGACAGGTCTGTATGACATGTTATGGCTTCAGCGGTGGCTTTAGCATATTATAAGCTCATATTTAAAGAAACACAAACTGTCTTCATTGCTGGGACACATCGTCATATATAGCATCAATATTTCAAAAAAATACAAAATATGGCTTCAGTACTGTATGACGTGAATCAAAAACATATTCAAAGAAAGACGAACGGAGTTGGGTTCACGCCCGCGGAAGCGTCACTAGCGACCGACTCGGACCGGCTTCCCAAACGAGGCTCCGAACGGCCGTTCAGCAGTGCCAGTTTGATCAGGCGCGCAGGGCGTAGTGAAGGGTCATCGAGCAAGGACGCTACTAGCAGCTCCTGGCCTTACTATTAGGAACAAGAAGCTACTATGTAGCGATGCACTTGTTCCATCTTGTTCCTAGTAGCTTCTTGCTACTAGTAGCGATGCCCTTCCCATGGGCATGGAATGGGGCGGATCCAGCGAAGGGGCGTATATGGGGCATAGCGATGGCTGGATGATGCGCCTGGACGAGCAGGTTTGAGATCTTGGACGCCTCAAGTAGCTAAACAGGAAAGCAAACAAAACACGCTCGTTAGGATCTGAGTGATTGTTTTCTTTCTCCTATTTTTTGTAGGGTTGAGCCATAGAAGCATAGAAGCATACTAGATGCCTGAAAGGTATAGATCACCAGGACCATTTTGTAGAGAATGTCACTCTTCTTGACGCTTTTTGTAGAGATAGGATAATAGGATATGGAGCCTTGCCAACAATCAGAGGCACATTCCCTCATGTTTTTCCAGGTAACTGCTTCATGTTCGATTCCATGTTCGATCCACGGCTGATTCGTATATCGTGTCTTTTCTCGATGTGCCCGGCTCCTTGCCAGGCGGATGGCCTGCTTCGTGGTGCTTTAGGGGTCTCGGGAGCTTTGTGCGGGCCTCGGGCCAGAACTGCTGGACTGCAGGAGGATCTTATGGTGTTCCATGGCGCGTTGGAAGGGGTGGAGATGTAGAGACACTCCTTGGAGGCTACAGCTCGCCAATGCCTGGTGAATCCACGACTTCACTTCATAAAGCGGGTTTCGGTTTGCAGTTTAACGGGAACTATTGAACTGATGCCCCTTCCAACGGCCAAAATCGACAAGGACCCTCCAGTTCAAGAAATTCTCGCCTCAATAGCATCATCCTGGCCCTCAACACCTTCCTTTTGAGGTGCTGGCAGTCTTGACAGGCTACCCACATGCCATGGTCCACGCATGCCACTGCCCCCCCCAGTTCTGCCCAGCTTTCTCGTCTTCCAAGGCCCCCCCCCACCTGGGATCCAAACCTCCTCCCCTCGGGGATCGCCCTCGCTCCTTCCGAACTCGTCGCGCCAGCCCCTCGTCGTCTCCGGTGGAACGGCGGCAGGCCTTTCCTGGACAAGCCATGGTCGCTGTGTCCAGGCCATTCGGGGCCGTTCGGGGCCGTTCGGCCATGCGCGGGGGTGGTGGATGTGGGACCCACCCGTTTGGGACCAGCGACCGGACGCGGAGGACCGACCGGACCGGACGGCGACTCAAGAGATTCGTGTGGAAACAAGTCGTGACTCCTGCGAAGCTCGGAGAGGCGATGCTTGCCGATAGTCACTATTGTCTAGGGAAACTTGGAGGGTACGTCTTAGAAACCTCATAATCATATGAAGATGTGCGGGGAGGTGTTGTGTGGTTATCCACCGTTCTGAATACCTATCGGCCACAAAACATATATAATGAGAATGAGAAGAATCTCGATGTTCATCGATGTTCAGTGCAGGTCGCGAAAGCGTATGATGACTCTCACCAACCCCAAAACCGGAATGCATGTTCGGTGGGGGGTTCCCCTTTTTTCCCTGCTGTCCTTTGAAATCAGCTGCACGAAGGGAGCCCTCAACAACCTATCAGATTGGCACTCATCTGCTCTCGTTGTATTTTTTTAATCCGAGAGCCCAGTATTGGGCTCTCAGACTAAAAGAAAGAACACACTGACAGACGAATGACATCAACAGATGGGCAGTGGTTGAACCCGCAGGCGTCGAAGAAGCGGCCTTGTCGGAGACCTTGTCCTCCATGGCCAGCTCTCCTGAGGGCAACAAGGCCAGCGGATGCCAGGAAGGGCCTTCTTGGGGTGAGTGGGGTGGATATATAAGGAAGGACGCGGATGACCGAAAGACAAAAGCCTTGTGAACATGAGTGTTGTTTATTGTTTCGGGTAAGATAGAGCTGGGCTGGCAGTTGTATGCCATACCATGCCATGGGCCATGCGGCTATACCTGTGATGAGTAGTCTTGAAGATCACCACGGGCTTGTTGAACGAACTGCTGAGATTTCATGCCCCGTTCAGGATATGTTCCTGACACTCCTTGAAATAGTCATGGAAGTGGAGTTCACCACCTTTTGGTCTTCTGAAGATGGCCATCCATTTGGGGGCCATGCCATCCACGTAACAATGATGATTTCAGGGAGTGTAGATGGCACAACCATGTACAGACCCTTTGACCAATGATTTTCGATGACCCCCCTTTTTGGCTTTCCTGCCCAAGACCAGCTGAAGTACTTTTCTTTGCTCACATCTGCATAGGGGGATTCGGTCTCTTCAAGACCACACGCTCGGTCCCACCGAATTCCCGCTCGAACTGGGACTCCTCCAGGTCGCTGCTGGATTCCTCGTGGACGTGCGAAAGGAGAAGCCCAAGGTTTGGGTCGACCCTGCCGTGCAGCGTCCTAGCCTCAGGGATCGTGGCACGCGCAGGCACCTGTGCTTTGCGCGTGTGCAAAGAGAGATGGGGCGAGGGGGTGTGGCCATGGGATGGCTTTGATGGATGGCCTGACTTCGAACGCATTCTCATTTGAATTGTTGTTTGAGGTTCGGACCGGTATGGAATGGGAAATCCTCGGAAAGCGGGGCGTTTGTTTGGACCCGATAGCCGACGTTTCGTTCATGGTCAATGGTCCTCGATGTCCTTGGTCCGCCTGCAGAATGCATCAGAATGCCATTGATTGACATATCATATCGCATACACATATTCTCATGTGCCACCTTTAACACCTTTGCTGAACTCCAGGACGATGAATCTAGTTGGTATATGTTGGTATGCTGATCTTCCAAATTGGGATGGAGTTCAGCCGTCGATCTTTTGAAGACCAACCTTGCCCTTCCGACCATCGCATCTATTGCAGCGCATCTACCCCCGCATCTCTCGCCCATCCCACTGACCTTCCTCGCGAAAAGCGAAGAACAAACCAGAAGACGGTGGTCGCCTCCGAGGCTGTGTGCTGCAAGGGGGCCAGGGAGCCGCCACTTGGACCGAGCACGGAAGCCCCAGGGGGACCGCGGGTTCTCGAACCTGTGCCGAACGTGCCGAACGGTGCCGCATACGGTGCCGCATGGCGCAGAAGGGATCAAAGGGAGGAGGTTGGTTTTGTTGGTTTTCGGATTTGCTGGGGCATTTGTCATATTTGTCATGTCTGGTGTATGTGGATCATTCAGAAAGGAAGATGTTTGTATAGCTATGTAATTGGTCCCGGTGTGCCATCCAAATAGCGAAACCAGTTGCAGATTTTCCATCTTGAGTGTGCTTGTTCCTGTGGTGATGCTTCTTCCAGCGGGATGGTTCACATTCCACCACACCATTCAGACTTTTTTCCCCTCGGCTCCAGAGCTACAACATTTGATGCAGTATCTGCGGCTCCAGAGCTACAGATGATTTTGTGGAACAACTCGGAACCACCAATTCATTCAAACCACAGATGAAAGAACCATTTCAATGGTTTCAATGAATCATTTCGCGGAACAACCATGAACCTTCTGGTTGAAAGCAATTCATTCCCCAAACAGTGTGGTCACACTAGGGGTTCTTACGGTAGTTGTTAAGCACCGGTGCCTTTCTTTTTTTGATTTCCAACAACTTCTGGTGGTTCCGTGGGTCGCTTTGACCATACCCTGGCGAGGTGGGAGGTGACTAGAAACAGTGGATCCTCAAAGCAGTATAGGGCCCATGATAAAAACGTTTGGGAGGCTAAACTGTCAAGCCGGAAGTTCAGCATGTCATGGGTTGAACATCTCTCCTTTATGGCGACTTCGTTTCCAAACGGACCCCTCCAAAAGAAGAACACATCCCCATGATGCTCACAGGGGTGGTCTCTTTAGCATCCCTCAAGAAACCACCCCCCTGACAGTGGTTTCTTTTGGAGGGATGTCCAAGCGCTCTTAGACATCCCTCCGACATCGGTTCCGACACCACCCCCGCGGGCCCACGGCGTACAGCGGCTCGGCTCCGCCGTGGCTCGCTCGACCGGTGCGGCTCGAGGCGCAGAAGCTCCAAAGGCAAAGGTCCGGGTCTCTGTGGAGCCACGGCCGAGCGTCACGGGGAATTGGAGGTCTTTTGCCAGGCAGAAGTAAATGTGGTAGCCATAGTGTGATGTGAGTATAGCTATTGTGGTGGCCATTTTGCAATTTTAGGTCATGCCATAGCTGGAATTTTAGGTCTTTGGGCAGCCTGGGTACTTACCACAAGTGTTACGTGGAGCTTGTGTACATGACGAGGGAGTATTGCAGGTTGAGCATCCAAATCATCCAGAAGGTGTTTTTTAGTGTTTTCCCCCTGTGAAACTGCGTGATGGGTGCTTCGTGGGTTAGCATCATGAGGTTTTTTAGAGCTAGATGCCGTCTCGCGAGCCCTGTAAAGTCTGGGTTCACAAAACGGAACAGATTGGACCTGTGACTTTAAAGGAAAAAGGAGTTCTGAGCAAGCCAGATCTAGGGACACCATTCCAAGTAAAAACATATTATCACAATCATCATCAACGGTTACTGCTAATATACCCAAGCCAGATGTCAGATACGGATCCCCCAAAAGCGACGTCATTGGATCTGGGACATGGATGTGACGTGAGATTGGAGTGAGCCAAGCCGGGGCAGTGTCGAGATTGGACTAACAAAATAGCCTCGAATGACGTGATTTGACCTATAACCTCGAGTGTTTGCATGTGCCTATGGGAATCTCCCGGTGGCACCTTTGTCCATTCGTATTCCGGACAAACAGCTGATCTGAACTGCTCCTCCCTTTTGCGTGTGAGCACTTCTGAGGCAAAGGCAAGGGGCAGCGAGCCTGATTGCATCAGATTGGCCTATGTACAGTGCTGTGAATCCGATGATACTCCTCCTGACAACTTTCATGGGCCTGCTGGACTATTTCCGAAACAAATGAGAATAGAACGAAGGTTAAACATCACGACCAAAACACCTTCAAGGACAGCTTTTGCAAAGATCTTTGAATGCAAAACTTGAATGCTGAGCAAGGCCTGTGTTCTTTTTTCCCAAGAAATTGGATGTTGCCTGGAGGCTGTCAGCCATTTGCACCCCTCAATAAGAATCCATTCTCACACCACATGAAAGCTCCAATTTGTATGAAGTTGTCCAGAACCAGATCTATGTTCTTGAGTGGGTGTAGATTTTTCCTGATCACTGTACTGTGCGGCTACCCTGACTAGCTCCGAAGCCCAGATTGGCCCTGCCAATGCCATGTCAACACAACCACTTGGGCTTGTGCTGAGACTGCGGGCGCTTGGCGCTCGACGAAAAAGATCGCAAACGACCGGGTCGAGAGTCGAAGTTGCATGACGTTGCTTGCCGGGGGTGTGCGTTTGGACCGAAGGACCCTCTGAGCCTGTTTCTTGTGAGTCGCATTGAGCTGTTGGTCTCAGGTGCTTCCTGGTTTTAACTCATCACACTGCTGGGGTGACCAGATAGAGATGAGCGGCGGTGGTTTTCAGAGAACGTCGTGGGCTCATATTACTTTACAGACTTCATACCAGTGGCCAGTTCACAACGAGAAACTTCATCCAGGAATCCAGAAAAGGTTGCTTGCCTGGCTTGCCTTGCTTGCCTTTGAGATGTGTTTTGAGGAACCCGCAACTCATGAACTCATCCACCCAAGTGATATCCGACCATCTTTCAAGAGGCGCCCCAACTCCAACGCAGTTCGTCGTTCCGTTCCTCCCTTGCTCCACGCGTGCGGACTTCCCGACAGGACAACGAGCGCAAAGCGATCCAGATGGACGAGTGGGCGAAGGTGAGTGAGTCGAGCCGTTCGCCCTCGCCGGTGCTCCGCGACGGCGCGACCGCGAAGCGTAGAACGTCGCTCGCCGCTTCGCAGGGGGTTGGGTTCCACGGGTCCACCGGACGAGACGGGAGTAGCGCGGGAGTGGTGTGGAGCACGGTATCTGTCGAGGGGAAGACCAGAGTCAGATACCGTGCTCCTACTCACTGAGGGTACCTTGAGCTCTTCCCTCAGAGCGCGGTATGCTCTATCTTCCCCGGTAGCTCTGGTCTTCCCCTCTGAAGACCAGAGTCAGATCTCCATCAATCTGAGTCGATTTCTGTTTACTCACTGCTACTCCACTGAAGGGAAGAATTTGACATTGAGAAAAAGGACAGTGGAGCAATCTCCTACAATATCCATCATATATATCATATCTCATCTATCTCCTACTCACTCCTACGCAAGTGGAGTCAGTTTACATTGGGAGGAGTGCCCGTCCAACAATCTTAGTATGTTAGGCGGTTTATAGCACTCGCGGTAGATCTTGGGTCATGAACACCACCAACATTCTCGGTCTTTGAGGACAAAGTGAGTGAACTCGACATGTTGACCCTTCTTGCAGATCTGGGGCATAGAAGGAATAACAATCTAGGTGTTGCATGGTGTTGCTCGATATGTCAGCATGACTTATGTTTTTTTCAGCAACTGCTGGTCCGAGCTCATGATATGCAGCAAACGAGTGGTGGTCCAAGTCTCTTCCCAGGTGGTGGTGGTTTCAGATATGGCTGTTGGCTGTGGGTCATAGCACCAAACCTATCATTTGGTTGACCTACCGGCGGAAGTCTGGAAGGTCAACCTACGTCCAGTGGACATGGCGACAGCCCGGGTTTTTCCAGATGGACATGACCCATCCCCATGTCGTGATGTGACAAACCTTTGCCTGGGATGATTGAAACCCACTGACTCATACCTTTCGTTGTTGTTTTCGTTGAAACCATCAACCAGCGACGCCGTCGCATGTTCGATCAACCAGCGACGCCCTCGCTCCTTTGGGTTCAAGAACAGAGTCACGTGCCTCCATTGCCAGCAAGGCCAGATGTTGCCAGCAAATCTTCAGTGCGACGATCAGAGAGGGCTGTCGGAATCCACCAATGGATTTGCATTTTCTACCCTCCCTCCAACAATCATGGAAGCTGACCAAGACCCCTTAAAAAGGAGAAAATGGATCTTCCAAGGGTCTGCGTTCGACTTTTATGATTTCTTTTAGGGAGTGTAGGTCCTGTGAAATTGAAGTGAACATATCCCCATCAAAGCATTGTTTTCGACACTTAACTCCACCTAACCCACCATGATTGCTCGTCTCTTTTCCCTGGCAGGTATTTGAGTGTGCAAGGGTCAGGAGTGAACGAGGAGGAGGTCTCCCTGTTCCAATACACAACCCACCCTCCAATCCAGTCTGACACGAGTTTCCTTGAGCCTTCTCATGCACAAGGCCCCCGAATGGGCCTCTTACTTACACCGGTTCAACCCCGCCAGATGTAACCACTGTTTTGAGTTGCTAGCCCCGCCAGGCCGCAGAAGTAGCTCGACACAGGATGGGCTACTACGAGCAGAGTCCTGGCGTAGACTCAGACGGGAAGTCGCTTCTCGAAACAGCTGCGGTTTCGGTGGTCCGCCAGTGGAAGCTGCAGTCATTTGGACCGGAAGATATAGAGCTTGAAAAGATACAAGAATCCGGTCCAAACTAGTCATACCCTCATACAATTGGCAACAAGATCTGGAGTTTGACTAGTTCAACACTTGGCAACTATAGTGATACTCTCGGACTCTTCCTGATCCTATCTCCTTGAGGATGACTGTCATTTCAAAACCTGTTTGTGGAAAGAATTACAGAATCAGATGGACGCTTCAATGAATTGGTCTAAGGCAACATCTACCATCCTTTTTGGGGGCTTCATCTACATGTCCCATTCTTTCCTGTAGGTGTTCCCTGACACCTTTCCCTTCAACCACTGACCGGTCAATTCAGAAAAGGATGATGCCCTTCACCTTCCCTGTCCGTCCTTCCCCAGGAACGTCCAAATCTTGAACGATGTCTTGGTCAAGGCCGCAGAGGCGCGTCCAGCATCATCTCACCCACCTCCGCACCTCCCCACGAGCGTCTGTCAGACCGAGCGGTTGTGTGTGTGTGTGTGTTTTGATTGTTTATTTGTTTTGTCGCTCGAGACATGCCCGGAAAAAAATAGAACATCGATCAACAAGTCGAAAAGATCCTCAACATACTCCAATTTTGCCTCCTTGAAGTCCAACTCGAAAGCATGCAAGGAACGGCGCCATGCGACGCGCGGAAAGGCGTTGTTGCTGTTCTCTTTATTTTTTTGGTTGGCACGTGGAAGTGCCAATGCACACTGGAAGGCCAGTCTTTTTGAGGAACGTGTCTTGACTCCAACCAGCCCCACCCGGGCCTCCGCTTCGGCTCCAGTAGCACGGGGCAGGTGAGGGCACCGCCTTCAACCCGTCAGGCTCACGAGGCGGAGCTGGATGCGGAGATCGCACGGCTGGACGCCCTCAAGGAGACGCGGAACAACTGAGACGGCCGTGAGATGGGGAGGAAATAAGAAAGAGATCATGTTGGATAATGTTGGATCCACCCGAATCCACCCTCAGCATCATCCAGTGTTGCTGGTAGTAGGATGTGCCATGACATACCATGATTGATAGACCCACCCAGTAATGTATAGACCCCCCCCCGTACGTCCATTCCCATTATACATTATCGGCTGGCGCAGGGGCTGGCGCAGCGGTTGTCGCAGGGGCTGTGGCTAAGTGAGATTGATTAGTAAAAAGGGATTCCCTGCGGGTTTGTCCAAACTTACCTGTAACAATCGGTCAACAATGATCACATATGATCACTTATTTCTCATGTTGGATAATGTTGGATCCACCCTCAGCATCATCCATTGTTGCTGGCAATAGGATATACCATGATATACCACTGTTGCTGGGACGAGAAAGAGAGATTATAGTTATTATAGTTGCCCCAGCTCAACAAATGGGAGGCCCTCTTAAAAAACTTTATCTTGGGTCTGTATAATGTCAAATGATGTCAAATGTTTGTGACGGATTTGGAGCTGCTTGGAGATCCCCAAATAGATCCAAACATAAGGGCAACTTCTGCATGAACTGCATGAACGGTATGTGTGAAAATTGCGAGGAAGAAACTCAAGGAGAAGTAAGGATGGTTTCCCTACAGACTGGCATGAAACGCAGAATTCAGAATTCAGTGTGCCAATTAGCCTCTGCCAAGTGAAAAAGGCGGCTCAGTCCAAAGATGGCACAGAGGTCAAAGAGGAATCCCGTAGACTTAGACTGGGCTGTTCAAAGGTGACTCTTCGAGGTAGCTTTGAGATATATTATCATGATGGACTTAAAAAATGTTTCTCCTGTGATATCGCAGATGGTCGTAGCTGTGATCGTTTGTTTCCCTTTCTCGTTTGAGATCAACATCACCGATCAGGAGGATGACTTGGAGGAGCTGCGGAGGAAGCGGTTGGAAAAGATGAAGTCCAACCACGCCGTGCTCAGCTCAGTGGGTTTGGGCCCTCTGGGCATGGCTGGGGGGCACCTACTAGGCACCTGTACTAAGCGAAACCTAAGCTGCCACCCTCGCTGCTTGGCTGTGCAAGTATGGTCTGAAAAGGGTCAGAATTTCTGGAAGTATGGTGAGTGTTCGCTAGTCTTGACGATGGGCGGCTTCTTTCAGAATCAGTCCGCTTGCCTCTCTATCAGGATCACTCGTTTCGTTTTTCGATCTCGAAGACCTGACGGGGTAGGCGATGCAGGGGATGTAGCAGGAAGATCTAGCTGCGTAGCAGCTGGGAACCGGATGTATCCACTACCAGCAAAAGCCCCTTCAGCTTCCAGCGTGATGTGATGAGACGTGCCAGGATAAGATGAAGAAATTGGCATCAGGGCACGGCGAATACACGATGATTGATGAGAAGGAGCTGTGCATCCACTCTGATGTGCGTTCAATTGTTGTTCTTCCGGTGCTTTGACTGGGACATTTTCAGGCAAGTAATAAGTTATAAGATGTTATAAGTAATACTAACGTCCGAACCCCCGTTCCGTGGTGGCAGAGAGCTATGATGTTTCTTCG